CCAGATAATGTTCTGAGGACCAGGATTCGAACGCCGCCATGGAAAATGGTGGAATTTGAATTCAATAAATATCTGGAATTAAGACTCTAATGATGACTACAAATCCGTTGTTGGTTGTCAGGAAAACCCATCTGGTTCGCTAATGTCCTTTAGGGAAGGAAACTGCCATCCTTACCTGGTCTGGCCTACATGTGTCTCCAGACCCACAGCAATGTGGTTGACTCTTAGCTGCCCTCTGGGCAATTAGGGATGGGCAATAAATGTTGCCTAGCCAGCGACACCCTTATCCCACGAATGGATAAAGAATAAAGATATAATGCCTTCCCAACTTGTTTTCCAAAACACCTTATGGCCAACGAAGTGTAGTCACTGTTGCAATGTTGGAAATGCAGCAAATCCTATACAGAAAGGTCCCATAAACTCAGATGAAATGGGTTAAAGGGTTCTTATAGAGGTTTTGAGCAATAAATATTGCCTAAAACACGAGGGAGAATTCACCTCCTTTTCTTCCTTAGCATTCCTTGCATCCAGTTGAGGGTAGGTAGGGGCCTGATATCATGTTTGCAAGTATTTACAAAAAAGGACTTTTCTTTCGACATAGAGAGATAGCAAGAACTGCAGATGCTGGAATCAGAGATAACAAAGTGTGGATCCGGAGGAACACAACAGGCCAGGCAGCATCAGAGGAGCAGGAAAGTTGATGTTTCGGGTCGGCTCCCTTCTTCAGAAATGGGAAGGAGATAGAAACGGCCATTGTGGGCTTGGGGAAAGATGAGGTTGGAGGCTGAGGGTGGGAGGTCACCTGAGGTGATGAGGTTGTGAATGGTTTGAGAGATGATGGTTTGGGTGGGGTCATGATCAAGGGAGTGGTAGGAAGAGGTGTCAGAGAGTTGACGCCTGGCCTCGGCTATGTAAAGGTCCGTGCACCATACAACTACTCACCTCCCTTTATCTGTGGGTTTGATGGTGAGGTTAGGATTGGAGCGGAGGGAGCAGAGGGTTGCATGTTCTGTGGGGAGAGGTTGGAGCGAGTGAGAGGGGTGGAGAGGTTGAGGCGATCAATGTCGTGATGGCAGTTGGAAATGAAGAGGTCGAAGGAGGGTAGGAGGCCTTGGGTAGTGTCTCACGGTTGAAGAAACAGGCGTGGAGATGGAGGCAGCGGACAAAGTGTTCAACATCCAAACGCGAAAGGAATTCATAGATGCGTGGGTGCAGGGGAATGAAGGGGAGTCCTTTGCTGAGGACTGATCATCCATCCTCAGTGAGGGGGAGGTCTGGGAGGATGGTGAAGACCTGGCAGGGCTTGGGGCTGGGGCTAGGGCTAGGTGTACAGCTAGTAGTAGAGTTGGAGCTGGGTGTGGGGGTAGAGTTGGTGATGTCATCGGCATCAGTGGTGTCCCTGTCAGCAGAAGTGACGTTGGTGGTGGGTGGGGCGACGTTGGTGTTGGTGTTGTCGGCGGCGGAAGTGACTTCGTCATCCTTGATGTTGGTGGTGGGAGCGGCGTTGGCAGTGGCGTCCCCGATGACAGCGGTGCTTTCGGTGTCAGAGATGGAAACGGCGGCTTCCGCAGTGTGACTGGTGGCAGCGGCGGCATGGCTCACAGCAGCAGAAGGCACATGAACGGTATCGGCAAAAGTGAGGAGATCGGTGGCGTCGGCAGGAGAGGCAGTGGTGGCCACGTAGTCAATGGCATAGCGCACATTGAGGGGGAGGTCCTGGGTAGGGTTGAAGACTTAGGGGCTGCGTCAGGCCTGTGTTTGGTGGTAAGTACAAGTAAGTTTAGTGTGCTTATGGTTTTTAATGTAAGACAGGGTGGACAAAGAGTGTTGCTTTAGGTTATGGGTCCTGCGCAGAATGAAAAACAGAAGAGGTCGTTTGCAGGTCTGGGAGAGGGAGGCTCTGAGCTGGGGGGACTTTGACTGTAGTGCCAGAAGATGCCGGCGCACTGCTGAGAGTGTGTGCTGGAGGATCCATAGAGAAAACCGTTTTTGGAGGCTCTGGATGTTGTTTATGTAGAGGTTGTCACGGTCACGGCCAAAAGGGGTTGGCCTGGATGTAGACTGGAGTCCCT